GGGGAAAGAGAAGAGAAAGGATTTCGATATAATCCAGATATAAACCCTTTGGATATTGTTGTTATGAATATCGATTCAACCAAGAAAAAACAAAAAAAAAGAGAACAACCGACAGTAGGCGAGTGCGACAAGCGGCGCAGATGTTTTGTTTTTTTGTTTTTCTGCAAAAACAAAGGCAACCAAACTCAATATTATTATTGTCTGATGCAGTCATATGCTGCAGAATATTCAAGAAAAATATATAACATAAGAGCTGAAAAAGAACAGCTCTAAACCCCTCTCGAGCCCTCGGTGTTCTAAGTTAAAGAGTCAACTGGCCTGGGGCTGAGGAGAAGAGGAGGACGCACTTTGTTATGAGCTGCAGCGCAGCTTATTGCTGCTGTTGCTGCAAGACAACCGCACATGCAGCGAAACTGAGACACCTTTGCTGCATGCACCATTACTCTAGACACTCGAAGGAAGTATTTCCTTCTCCCCCTGCAAGCAGCCCGCATGCGAAGGGGTTGTACAGAAACCTTCAACTTCAATCTTTAAAAAGACAGATACACCTGAATGCTGCGTTGAGCAACCCAGCATAACGATCACTTGTGCTTGTGCAGTCAGCTGCAGCTATATATATATATATATATATATATATATATATATAAGAGTCAACTGGCCTGGGGCTGAGGAGAAGAGGAGGACGCACTTTGTTATGAGCTGCAGCGCAACTTATTGCTGCTGTTGCTGCAAGACAACCGCACATGCAGCGAAACTGAGACACCTTTGCTGCATGCACCATTACTCTAGACACTCGAAGGAAGTATTTCCTTCTCCCCCTGCAAGCAGCCCGCATGCGAAGGGGTTGTACAGAAACCTTCAACTTCAATCTTTAAAAAGACAGATACACCTGAATGCTGCGTTGAGCAACCCAGCATAACGATCACTTGTGCTTGTGCAGTCAGCTGCAGCTATATATATATATATATATATATATATATATATATATTTAAGGTAAGACTTAGTGAGGGCGCCAATGGCCTTAGAATGCATGTCCTATGTACGGTGTACAGACAGCTGAGAGGAGGAGGAGAGGTAATACAAACCTCTTCAGTGTGCGCGTGCTTTGAGACTGTTCAGAACCCTCTCTGCACAAGGGAGAACTCTGCATGCAAACAAACAAACGAAAAGGATTTGCTGCAGCGCTGCTTTTTCTTAGTAGTGGTAGGTTAGTAGGAATTGGAGTGTACGTGCAGCGTTGTTTGCTTTCGTATACGAAAAAAAATAAACAATAAAATATAAAATTTTATCTATTTATTCAAATGAAACGCTCGACTTAGAGTCCACACACCCCGCCAAACAAGACACACGAGATACAGCGCATGCTAGCAGCAGCAGCAGCAGCAGCAGCTGCAACAGCAGCAGCAGCGCTGCTGTGCGTTCTGCAGCAAATCTGGGGGCAAAAAGCCAGTTAAATGGCTAAAAGGAGTTTTTCTTGTTTAATTAAACAATTTATTCTTTGATTATTCAGGCGAAATAGTTAAATAATGTGCGGGCAGATGCTTGCACAGCTCGGCTCGCCTTCAGCAGTTTGCTGCCTTCGTTTTAATTCTTCTTAAGAAGCCGCCTATAAAATAGTCTGCTAATTAAATTTTTGCTTCTCAGACTCTCCGCAGCATCAAACACTACTCGCTTTGTAATACCCAAGACCCTCTCTGCTGCTGCTGCTACCGCTGCTACAACTGCTGCGGCTGCGCTGCTGCAACTGCTGCTGCTGCTGCTGCTGCACAAGCTAGCATAAGGGGCCGCACTGAACAGTCTCTGCGGCAGCCACGGAGGGAGCTGACGTGGGCTTAAGCTGTCGATTTCACCTTGAGAGGAGCGGCAGCAGCAGACTCGGCAGCAGCAGCAGTAGCAGCAGTAGCAGCAGCAGCAGCAGCTGCTGCTGCTGCGGTTCTGCCCCAGGCAATGAGCGAATCAATGGATAAGGAGTTCCTTGGTGATGAGGATTGTTTGGAGGCCCCACCGGGTGTCTGTACACCTCGAGGAGATGGCAGCGAAGCTGCTGCTGCAGTGACACTGAGTCGCCGCAACAGCAGCAGCAGCAATAGCAGCAAGGGCAGCAAGAGCAGCAGCAGCCGCAGGGGCCCTCTCATGCATTCCCCTGCTTCTGATTTGCTGCTAACTTCTCAGTCAACAGCGCTGCACAGCCTTTTAGCCTCCCGAGAGTCTCCTCTCAGCCTACCAGCAGCAGACGACAGCAGCAGCAGCAGCAGCAGCGGCAGCAGCAGCAGCAGCAGCAGCTGTCTCTACACCCAAACAGTTATACCCCTACAACTACTCCCCCACAACCACCGCATAGCCAGCCCTTGCATCCTGCAGCGTACGCGCAGCTGCTGCAGCTGCAGCTGCAGCAGCAGCAGCAGCAGCAGCAGCACGAGCCGCCTCCATTTGGTGCTACTAATGTACGTCTGTGGGGGTATTTCTACTGTCTCTTCTGTTTGCTGCTCTGCTTGTTTATTTTTCTGTCTCTTTTATCTTTGTTGATTTTGTTTGTTTTTTTGTTTTGTTCGTCTCTTTGTTTATTATCTGTCTTTAACTCATTTTCTTTTGTTTTTAGGGTTTGTCTCTGCTTCTCTTGCATTTTAATTTGTTTATTGTTTGTTTATTTTTTTCTTCATTTGCTGTCTCCTTTTGCTGTTTATTTTCGTCTTTGTTTGTCTCTTTCTGCTGCACTGCCGTTGTTTTACTGTCTCTTTCTGCTGTTGATTCATATTTACTGTCTCCTTTTGCTGTTTATGTTCTTTTAACTGCCTCCTTTGATGCTTATATTATATATCTGTCTCTTTTTGTTGTTTATATTATATTTGCTGTCTCCTTTTGCTGCTTACATCATATTTGTTGTCTCCTTCCCTTCTTTATTTGCTTTTAACTGTCTCCTTTTTCTTCTTTATGTGCTTTTAACTGTCTCCTTTTGTCTTTTATATTATATTCACTGTCTCCTTTTGTTGTTTATATTATATTTACTGTCTCCTTCTGTTGTTTATCTTCTTTTAACTGTCTCCTTTTTAATTTGCTTTTACTTGTATTTATTTTGCTTAATTTATTCAGACAGAGTCGCGGGCTCACTTGGTGCTGCTGGTGGAGCTGCAGCGAGTGCGCAGCGAGCTGGCTAGGCTGCAGGCTGAGCAGCAGCAGCAGCAGCAGCAGCGGCAGCCTTCGATTGTTATTCAGAATCATACTGCTGTCTCTGCTAAAGCAGAGACACAGGAGAGTCAACCCATGCAAAACAACAGCTGGATCCCTTCTTCCCTTTCTCTGTCCGTACAAATCCTGCTGCTGCTGCTGCTGCTGCTGCTGCTGCTTCTGCTGCTGCTGGTGTTGGTGCTGCTGCTGCTGCTGCTTCTGCTTCTGCTGCTGCTGGTGTTGGTGCTGCTGCTGCTGCTGCTTCTGCTGCTGCTGCTTCTGGTGGTGATGGTGGTCTTGCTGCTGATGCTACTGCTGCTGCTAATTCTGCTGCTGCTGCTGCTGGTGCTTGTGGTGGTGGTGGTGGTTGTGCTTCTGCTGCTGGTGCCGCGTGGGTTGTGCTGCTGCTGCTGCTGCTGCTGCTGTTGCTGTTTCTGCGGGTGTTGTGGTGTTTGTGCTGCGATGACATTAAATATTTTTAATTAAATTAAAAATATTTATTTATTTATTTGTTTGTTTGTTTTCTGCAGTTTCTTTGAATCTCGCCTCAACCGTCTTTTGTTTTTTTGTGGTTTTGCTGTCGGCTGTTTTGTATTAGTAGAGCACTGGAGATATTCTTATAAAATGCATCAGCTAAAGGTATATTAAAATAGTTGAGGCATGTGCATATTATTATTATTGTTGTTTGTTTTGTTTTTATTATCTCTTTGTGCTTATCTTTATGTTCAAAGTTTGAGATATTCTTATAAAATGCATCAGTTAAATGTTAAAGGTATATTATATTATCCAGACATTTGCATATTATCTTTTTCTATATTATCTATAGTGTGTAGATATAAATGTATATACGTGTATATATATATATATATATATATATATACATATATATACATATCTATAT